GAGGGGTTACAATTACATGGTCAGGATAATGCATACATTTCTTACCAAGCATTGCAGCCTCCTCCTTTGTTTACCCTTCAAGGGGTCTTGTTTTTTAATCCAACTAGACAGTCTATGTCGCTTAATTGGAGAGTTCAGTCCGTTAACGTTAAGAGATAGGACTGAGAGGTACTTGGGAGTTCCTGCCATGTTATCCACCTTCTTGGGGGCTGCGAAAACTGGGTTCTTCCTATGGTTCTTGGATTCTCAGTTTGGGTGCAGTTTCTTGGCCTTTATTGCGGTCTTGTTGGTTTTCTATGTGTAGGACATCTTTAAGAATCTTTTGTAGGGCTGGTTTGGTGGAGATGTAATAATATTAATTTTATACAGAGGAGGAAACATGTTTATAGCAGTAGTCACACAGACTTTCCAGTGTGTGTAAATTTGAACCCAAGTCTGGTGGACTATTAGAGCCCTATTCTTTACTGGACAGAGATAAGAGGAAAGGGTCTGCAAGAAGATCCCCAGTCTCCTGTCACTGCTGTATGTGTCCAGTATCATGGTGTGTTTGTGTTATGGCTTGGAACTGACCCTCCAAAACTCAGGGATTGAAGGCTCAGTACCCAGTTGGTGGATGATTGGTTCATAGGACTCGGATGTATTTATCTGTTCATTTATTTGTTGAGGGTACTAAGACTTGAACTCAGGACCTTATGATTCCTAGGCCGGTGCTCTACCAGTTGAGCTATGCTCCAGCCTTCCTGAGGTCTCTGATGTAATCAATGGGTGTATTCATTTTATGGCATTATTGGGAGGTGGTAGAAGTTAGGAGAGGAGCTATCATTGGAGGGAGCAGGTCAGTTGGTGTGTATTTGATGAGTATGTCTTGTCCTTGGCCTCCCCTTGTTTCTCTCTCCCCTTCCTGGCTGCAGTGATCTGAGCATCTTTGCTCCACCACGTGTTTTGCACCATGATGGCTGCCTTAACCTAAGTCCACAGTCCAGAGCTCGGGTTCAGCCACAGGCCCAGGTGAGTGGACTTTTGAAACTTAACGAAATTAAGCTAATCTTTCCTACTTTAAGTTGTTTATGTCAGGAATTGTTACAGTGAAAACGTACAGTTTTTCTTTCTTAATACAGATTATATGAATGTTGAATTGTTTCAAATTCCTGAGACATACTGAACATAGATAGATAAGACTTCATCTCAACAAAGTATGTTGTCACTGATATTTGAATAGTCATCAGGTACTTTCATGTTCCCATTGATTTCTCTAGAACTGAATTAGGTTAATGTATTCCTTGGATCCAAAATAGACATTCCAAAAGATAAAATGCATACAATGTAAGACAATGATCATAGCTAATTCAATATTGAAGGTTCTCAGTCAAACCTCCATCCAATTCTCTGAACAAACTTAGAGCTCTCTCTACTTTAGATGAATAGAGTCTTCTGAGCAGGGCAGTTTTGGGGCTAGTTTAGATTGTCTAATGTAGATTGTGTTTGTCCATTCCCAACTCTGCTCTGAGTGGCCAAGATGGAAGCTTTTATACCACTAATATTAATTTTCTACAGTTGACATTACAAGATACTGTGAAGTGGGTGCCTCAGAACAACAAAAACATCTCCCTTTCAAATTAGAAAAGTCAGAGGTCTAAAATTCATATATTTATATATTTATAGGACCTTGTTCCTTCTGAGACTCTGGATAGAATTCTTCTTTACCTCTTCTTCTCCCTGCTTCCAATAGTGGCCATCAATCCTTGGCATTTGTTGGCTTGCAAACATGCCACTCCAGTCTCTGTCTTTGAGATCTCAAGGCATCTACCTTCTTGTCTTCTCTTTGTATGAAATTACCAGCCATAGGGAATAAGAGCCCACCTACTCTAATTCGAGATGACCTCATTTTAACTAATTATATCTGCCATGACACATACAGTCATATTCTAGCGTACTGGGGCTCAAAATTTCAGCATACATTTTGTGGGGATACAATTCAACTTAAAATATGGAAATCAGACAATGCTACAGATTAAGGATTTAAAAAAACATTAAATGTAAGGTGTTTGTAGTTGAGTTTCAGCACATCAGTGCATTATTCTATTACCTATTGAGAGAGGGCCATTCATCACAAATAGCACTTGTCTGTGGGAGTCTTTTGTTTTTCATTAGAAATTTCCATATGCAGTCATTATTCAGTCTATTTGGGAGATCAAAGATATAATATGAACAATATGAGGTAAACACCATGATAAGTAGCTGTACTAGTGTGTTTGTTTGAGGAAGAATGGCAAGGAAAAAGTCTATGTATGTTCAGTACCAGAGAGTTTTTTACAAATATTTTTGGGCTGCAATGGATAGAGCTGCATGTGTAGGTCTCTCAGGACATGAGAAGTGACTCTATTCTAAATGGATTAGACTTTTTCTCACAGGTAACAGTTAAAGGGAGACAACATGCTGATTTATTTGCCACTCATTTCTTAGTTTCAAAATACTTTCTTTATGTATTTCCATCATAGAAAACATAAAAAAAAATACAGAAGAGTTGAAAAAAGAATTTCAAACAAATGATCAGAAATATAAGCCATGCCACTGAACCTCTCTAAGAATCAACCCCTTATTACTTGGACATTAGGGAGACATTTTCGGTACAAACTACAGAATAATATTATGTACACTCATCCTCTCTGACCACTAAATTGTAGGTACTTGGGAGTTTTCTGTGTTAGCTTTAATTTGTATTCTTCAATTGGTGCGGCATATTTCATCCTACTGATTCATTACAGCCTATGTCATTGATTTCCTGTTGCTGACTTTTATAGGGCATTTTCAGTCTTTCATGATTATAACCATGAAGTAATGAAAAACATTCTTCATGTCTCTTTCTGCATAGATGTACACTTTTTCTTCAGGATAAATAAAATGAAGCAGGATTTCTGAATTGAAGAGTATTTAGGATTTTAACATTATGCCAATATCCTTGAAAACTGTGGAGTTACACTGTGAGGGGAGGAAGGTTGAGTTCAAACTCCAGTACTGCCAAAAAAGAAGGAAAGGAAAGGAAAGGAAAGGAAAAAGGAAAGGAAAGGAAAGGAAAGGAAATTAGCACCTGGTTCTAATTTTTGAGGTAGAGCTTCACTAACTTTGGTCTTGGCTGGCCTGAAACAATAATCCTCCTATCTGGGCCTCTAAAGTAGCTGGTATTATAGACATACTTGTAATTGAGGCAATGGCCTTTTGGAAACTAATACCTCACTGATGGATCAGCAAGGGAACTAACACACAGGAGAAAAGCCTGCGTATTGCAATGGCACTAATAACATATATTATTGAGATTATGGTAGCATAAGCCAAATTAGAGAGTTTAGCTAAATGAAGATCCTATAAGCAGAGTCTATTCTGTTATGAAACACAAAAATAAAGTTCTCAAAGCAAAAATTAGTTTGGAACAGATAAACTGAGAAAATGAAGTAAAATGTAGACATAGATAAAAAACCTTGAAGGAGATAGTCAAAGTGCTTGACTTCTTTGATGACAAAAAAAAAATTATTGACTTTTGTGTGTGTGTGTGTGTATGCGTGTGTGACACATGCATGCTAGCTCTGGGACTTGAACTCAGGGCTTCCACTCTTATATGGCTATGTCACTCAAGGCTGGCACTACACCACTTAAGCTGTACCTTCACTTCCAGCTTTTGAAATAAAGAGTCTCAGGGTCTGTCCTGTCCAGACTGGCTTTAAACTGGCCACTATCCTCAGATCTCAGCCTCCTACTCAGCTAGGATTATGGACATACAACCGTGGTGCTGGGCTAGAATAATAATTGACTAAGCATCTAGGTACTGTGGTCTAGTCATACTAACATATGAAATTGGTCATTACAGTTGGACAATAATGTGGACAGTACACACACTTCCAAGAAAACAGAAGGGGACAAATAGATATATATGTACGTATATGTGTGTGTGAGAAATGAAAGTCTGTGCATCTAGAAAACATAGTGGTCTGTAAAAAATAACCCAGAGAACCTAAACAGGTTAATCAAAATAACAAAACACAAAGTTAACATTAAAAAATACCATACTATTTATATATGTTAGCAACAAACAATTGGGAATTGAATATTTTTAAGAAGAATCTGCTTTCTCCTTTTCTTTCTTGAAAGAGAGAGAAGGCGGAAGGAAAGATGAAAAGAGGAAGGAAAGATTTAAAGTAAGCATGAGAAAGTACTGTGGATCTATGATGTTAAAATTTTCTTCTACATGCTTTTTTATACGTCTTTTTTAACCAAAAAAATAATACTACTTGGTCCTTGTAAGGAAGAAAATACATAAGTTTCGAAGGTTACAATCACTTCACCTAAGAAACTAAGTAAAGAATTTATTAAAAAGAAAACTGACCTTTAATATGAAACATTTTTTTAAAAAAGAAAACAACCCTTAAAAAAACTTTTAAAAATGATCTATACAGGGGGCTTTTAATGCAGCATGTAAGCTTGTGCGTTCCATGATCAATGTCACCACCCTGCTGTATTCGATTCCTGGTAAAAGACAGCTTTTTTTCTTAAATGTTTCTATTTTTTCGGGTAAAGTGTAAGCCTTCGAAAACACCTTTATGTTTCTTAAGGGAAAGGCCCCGGAGTCCGTGCTGCTTTGCTACGCTGTGGTCCCAGGTGTATCACATTTGAACTCACTCTGTCCACTTGGGGGCTATCTTGGTCCATCTTGAGATCCACAGTAAGATGAAGTCGCACCCAATTCCCAAACCAAGTCTCCAAGGCGACAAGAATTCATGGAGAACATTCTTCCGAGGTGAAGTGAAGTCTTGAAACCGGGCCGCCCGACTTCCGCACACCCTTTAACCTATGTCATTCAAGAAAAACTACAATCCCATGGAGCTCTGCTCTCACCGGCCAACATTTCCCGCCTTTACTACTACGCCTGCGCACTACGGGGCGCGGACTACAATTCCCAGGATGCACCCTGACATCGTTTGCGTCACCCTGCTTCCTGCCAGGGCGGTTCCGGATATCTGATGGTTAGTGGCTCTGTGGAGCCTCAGGAAAACTTGGGGTGGAAGGGGTAAGACCTCTGTTTGGGACGGTGTTGGGAGCAAAGCTTGTTCTTGTGCGGGAAGAGGGAATAAAACAGATAGTAGCAGGCCACAGCGGAGAACAACAGAGACGTCTGCCTCGTTTTTGTGTGTGCACAGATCTTGTGTTTGAGACTGCTGAGAGAGGCCTACCACAGTGTGGTTCGCCTTTGCTCAGTACCGGCGATGATGAGGATGAGGATGAGGATGAAGAAGAAAGAGAATATGGCAAGTGTGTCGAGAGTTCAGGGCAATTAGAAATGCCGGATAACCCGGGAGCCAGTGATTCATGCCTATAATCTAGCTACTCAGGAGGCTGAAGCCCAACACTGACAGACAACTTCAAGAGCCTCTTATCTCCCCATTACTCAGCAAAAGCAGAAGCAGAGCTGTGGCCCAAGTGGTAGAGTGCCAGCCTTGAGCAAATAAGCTAAGAGGCAATCGCCTTTAGTCTCCTTTATTTAGAGTCAAGGTATGTGGACAGGTCTGTAACATTTGCCATTCTTCCTTCTCCTAGCCTTCTCTTGGTACTTACTGTCTTTCAACTCTCATTGTATTTATTTCTTACGTTTATTGTCTTTTTGGCACTCGAATTCTAGTTCCCCAAGGAAAGAGATTTCAGTTTATGTTGTTTTCAGATAAATCCTTAACGCCTATTACAGTACACAGTGGGATCTCTAAATCTTTGCAGATGACTGAATAAAGTATTAAAGTGAGCATTCAGTAAATACTTGTCGACTGAGTGTGAAGGGCTGGAGCTCATTGCAAGGTGTTCCTGAACATCCTCAAAAAGGGTGACAGGAAAAGGGTAGAAGGATAGCAGATTGAAGGGAAAATCCGGGAGGAATTTCAGTGTGATATCTATGAAAAGGAGGAATTTAATGAAAATCAGTATACACTGTATATGGAAATGGGTGTTGGTTCCTTTTACACACACACACACCTACTTAAGTATGTGACTTTAGACAGAGTAATTTTGATTCTCAGTCTCTTCTTTTGTAAATCAGAATACTAATGCTCCCCATATGGAGTTATGCCAGTGCGACAGGGTAAATGAACATAGGGTTTAGCATAGGGCCAAGACTATAGTGAGCATTAATGAAGAAGCAGTGCTGTCATTATCATTACTGTTCAATATTAAATGGAGGACTTTGTAAGAATCACTGATGTGAACTAAAAGTTCAATTACTGAATTTAAAAGTCTAGGTGGCAGGGGGGGGCAGGGGAGGATGGGAAGGGATGGGAAGGGAAAACAAAGGAGGAGGCTACAATGCTTGATAAGAAATGTACTCATTATCTTGCCCATGTAATTGTAACCCCTCAATACAGTTTTTTTCACACACAAAAAAAGTCTAGCCTGTGAGGTTGACATACTAAAACTGTGTTGATTCAAGTTTTTTCCATACAATGTCATGGTATACCTCACTTTGGAGTCATTCTTATTTGGTTTCCCAAAACAGAGTGGAAATCTTTCAGCATATACAGCCCAGAAAACAGATCAATTTTTATCAAACCCTTCAGCTTGCTCCAAGCTTCCATTTTAAGCACAAGGAAGTTGGTTTTGAGTTAGAGCCTCCCCTCTTCCTAAGAACTCATGAGAGAAACAGTTCTGAGAGTTCTGCTTCTGGAATTTTGTTTTGAGGTTGTTGCTTTGGACAAGATCATAATTAGTACTACAGATGTATGTCTTGCTGCTCACAAATTAAGATAATTTCTAAAGTCCAAACAGAATTTTTACTCTTGGTCTTATCTATAATAGTTTTTTGCCTCATATGTAAGTTCTAAAAAAGAAGTATTTTGAACCTAGTCATTCTATGATATCATGCCTAATCATGATTCCTTAAGTGGAGACCTTTATTGTCATGAAGAAAAGTGAATTTCATGTAGAAGAAAGGTGAAGGCCTTATATTTCAGGTTTTTCTTCTGCTCACTCTATTTCCTATACTATCTGATTATAGCTCCTTGTAATGGTTCATGTTTATTTAAGGTGTGCCAGGCAAATTATGAAAACATAGACGGTTTCAACTGTCTGAGCTGTGTGTTTTGCTTTTTGATTTCTGCTGGGCTCTGTTGTGTTCCAGTATTTAAAAGATGCATCACAGCCAGGTGCTGGTGGCTCATGCCTATAATCCTAGCTACTCAGGAGGCTGAGATCTGAGGATCATGATTCAAAGCCAGCCCAGGCAGGAAAGTCTATGAGACTCTTTTCTCCAATTAACCACCAGAGAACGAAGTGGCACTGTGGTTCAAGTGGTAGAGCACTAGACTTGAGCTGAAGCACTCAGGGACAGTGCCCAGGCCCAGAGTTCAAGTCTCATGCCCGACAAAAAAAAAAAGAGACACATCATGGGTGGGGACCAGAGGGAAAAACTGTGCAACTGTGAGAGAGCAAGGAAATGGGTGACATTGTCTGAAAAGAAATATATCTTTATCTGACTTATGTAAATGTAATTCTCTGTACATCACCTTTATAATAGCAATAAAAAATGTAGAAAAGAAGCGCCAGACTACATTTGTCTAACAAAAATAATTTTTCTTTTATAACAATTAAAAATCTGAAATCCAAATATAAAAAATAATTCAATGGTTTAAAAATATGAACTATAGGGTAATTCAGACAAAAATGTGCAGAAACCTATACATAGAAAACTGCAAGGCACTACTAAGGAATGAAGAACCTAAATGAATGGAGTAACATATTTGTTACAATATTATTTGTGAGCATACATATATTTGACTCAATGTTGTTGAGACTCCATCAAACTTACTGTTATACAGAAATAACATAATCCTATTTACAATCTTAGTAACATCTCCTAAAAATAAATACTGATAGCTGGTTAGGTGTTTATCTTGCACAGATGACTCTTGAATTCAATCCACCATACAGCAAAATACATAAGTAAATAAAACTGAAGGACTAATTCTTAAATTCTTATAGAAATGAAATGATTTAAAAGAATGAACATATTTTTTTAAAGTTAGAGGCTTATTATGAAGCAAGACAGTATAATGCTAGGATAAAGTTAGATAAGTAGATCAATGGAAGAGAGAGACAACGTGTGTGGACAGTTGATTTTTTTTTTTTTTTTTTTTTTTGGGTCCGGTCGTGGGGCCTGAACTTTCAGCCTGGGCGCTGTCCCTTAGCTCTTCAGCTCAAGGCTAGCGCTCTACCACTGGAGCCACAGTGCCACTTCCGGCTTTTTTTTTCTTTTTGCTTATGTGGTGCTGAGGAATTGAACCCAGGGCCTCAGGCATGCAAGGCAAGCGCTCTACCACTGAGCTACCTTCCCAGCCCTGGACAGTTGTTTTTTGACAAAAGTGCAAGGAGAATTCTAGAGAGGAAGAATTGTCTTTTCAGTCAATGATACTGAAGCAATTAAATATCTATACACTGAAAAAAAATGTTGGATCTGTACACATCATATAAAAATTACCTCAACTGAATTATAATCTTAAGTGTAAACCTGACAACTACAAAAGTTCTAAAAGAAATCATGCTGCAATAGATATTTATGACATTTGTCTGGAAAAGATTTCTTGTCTACAACACCAAAAGCATAAAAAATGATATAGACTTACCAAATAGTAACTTTGACTTTTAAAAAGACTGGAGAGACAAAATAATAAAACTGGAAGGAAATATTTGAAACTCATACAACTAATAAAAGAATTGCATTCAGGATATAATAAAAATTAAAAATGAGCAAAAGACCTGAATAGACACTATCAAAAAACTTTTAAAAAGCAAGTAAGCACATGAAAAGCTCAACTTGATTAGTCAATAATAAAATGCAAATTAAAAGCACAAGGAGAAGCCATGCCTACTGGAATAGTTAAAAAAAAAAAGAACTTGACCATGTGCCAAGTGTTGATTAGGATGTGAAGAATCTGGAATTCATACATTGTTGGTAAGAACATAAAATCATACAAATATCCTGGAATACAACTTTTCTGTTTCTTAAAATTTTTAGTATACACCTGCCATATGGTCTATTCATTCCATTCTAGAAATTTTCTCTGGATAAATGAAAGCTTATGTCAGTAGAAAGACTTGTATATGAATACTCATAGCAGTTTTTTTCAAAAGCCCAAACTGGAAATAACCCAAGTTCCCATCAACAGGTGAATGGATAAACAAACTGTAGGAGAATAAATGGTACATGCTACAGCATGAATGAATCTCAAGATTATTATACTAAGTGAAAGAAGCTATACAAAAAGAACAGTACACACTAAATGACTAATATAAAAAGTTGCAGAAAATGAGCTGGGCACAATGATACATACCTATGGCAAATGTATTGCTTGAGCTAGCCCAGGGCTAGCTTGGTTAACATAATAAAACCCATCTAAAACAAATTCTAGAAAATGTAAATATAATACAATATTATGCAATGTACAAATATATTGCAATGTATTACAAGGTGATATATATGCATATATATATCATATACATATATACCAATAAACCCACAAACTAAATCAGTGTTAACCTGGAGAGGTAAAACAGAAGAGTAGGATTTCAAAGAAGGACTAGAACAGTCTTTTGTTGTTGTTGTTGGTTGTGGAGCTTGAACTCAGGGCATTGGTGCTGTCCCTGAGCTCTTTTGTTCAGGTTAATATTCTACCACTTTTAGCTGCAGCTCCACTTCCACTTTTTGAGTGAATTGATTGGAGTCTCATGGGGACTTTTCTACCTGGGCTGGCTTCACATCACTATCCTCAGAGTCTCAGCCTTCTCTGTATAACACAGAGCAGGAAATGTTTCTCTTCTCCATTTTCCTTTCTTTCTCCTGTTATAGTAAAATAAATCTTTGCCCAAACATAAACAAAAACAAAAGACAATAAAAGCAGCAAAGGGGAACTAGACAATCTGTAATATATATGATGATGGTTTCATGAATATATTCATGTGTTAATACTTATTAAATTATAGTATGGCTTACTACACTTGATTGTAGCTAAATATCCTTGGGATACTTCACATGGTGTAAATCCTTAGAACAACTAACTCACAATCTAACAAAACAAATACCTGGAAGCTGGTCCTTGAGGAGCATGTATGAGAGAGGTCAAGAGAAAGGGGGGTAGATGAAGTACGGTGAGTGCAGTAATAGTATTCTATGTATATCCTATAAAAATAGGATAATTGATGGGAGGGGTGGGGTTGAGAGGGATGGGTAGAACAATGAAAGAGGTAAAATTGATCAAGAAGCATGGTACTCATAAACTGACATGTTGAATTGTAACTCCTTTGCACAACTAAAGATAATAATATAATTTTAAAAAGAAATAAATGACTTTCTGAATAAGCTCATAATTATAAGCTCAATAATCTTAACTTTTAAAAATAAGAGTAATAACATACAATAGTTTCAAAAACTTCAATGATGTTCAGCATTCTTCTATTTTTTTTTTTCCCTCCAAGGAGAAATGGGCTGTACCTGGAGATGTGGGATCTAACAAGAAGTTTTGATTTCTGCTAAGGTAGGGGCATTCTACAGTCTTTATTTAATGATGGCTGAAGAGGACAAACTGATTTGAGAATTAAAGGAACTAACTTAAGAGACCCAGACTGGGCTCAGTTGGCATCCTATGAGCAAGGGAAGGATGGGCTCTTGGAGGCTCATCCATAACAGGAGGGAAGACAAAGTCGTCACTAGCTTTACTTAAGAAGACATACTGTATCTTTGTTACTAATGATGATAGAAAAAACATGACAATGAGAAGAGTTAATAGGCCTTTGTATTCATTAATAAAATGAGTCATGCAAAATCAGCAGTATTTGAGTTTTCAACAAGGCCATCAGTGAGTGTGTTAAAAGGTACTTGTTTCTCTGTATTTTCAGCTAAGAAGAGATAATGACCCAGCCCCAACCTTCCTTTGACGCAACTGGTCCAGAATCGGTGTAACTAATTGCTAGAGGTGTTGGAAATCTCCGCCTGTGTGTGCAATGTAAAATTGTATTTTCAGTGTATTGCAGTGTTTGTAGTATTCTCATGAACAACCTCTGTCCCTTGTCAGCACCACAACTGTCTTCTAGCCACCATTACCTACACAACAATAAGACCTGACATTTATTAAATGTTGCTAGGCACCATTATCTCCATCTTCACCTTGGCTCTCTAAGGTAGATGGTGTGATTAGCCCTTGTAAACTAAATAGTTGTAGAAAATGAACCTTACAGAGTTGTACCCCAGTGTCACAGCTCAGAAATATTACAGAATGAAAAGCCAAAGTCCATGTAGCCTCAAGGTTCTTGTCCTTAACAAGAATTCTTCTATATCACCTTACAAATGAGAGGTTTTACTGGTAAAAATAGGTGCATATTTCCTTCCTATTCTGATTCATTGTTAAGACTGCATTTTGACAATAATAAAATAACTCAGCAGAATGAAAAGAATTCACAGCTCCAACATCCTGTTGCAGCAACTGTTTTTATTTCTCTTCATTTCCTTTCACTCCTTATCCATATGTTCATATTTTACATAGTCATAGTTGCAATTTTATGTTCTGCTTTTTATGCTTAAAACCTTAAGCATGTTCCTTGTTGCTCTTTAGTCTGTAATGGATGCATACTACTGGATTTTGTAAATGTGCTGTGATTTCATTAGCTAGACAACCACAATGGAAGAACTTTCTAGGTTACTTTTTGTTGTTGTTGTTTAGTTTTATAAACTATGATGCAGAAAACTAGTTTATTTCCCCTTCTTTCTTCTTTTGTCAGTTTTTTTTAAAGAATAAATTCCCTGGAAGTGAGAATGACAAACAAGAACTTGGACATATTTTAGGAGACTCTGTATCTTTGATCATAGAAATAAATTTGTAACTGGCAAGAACAGATTAAATGCATGAATTATTGCTTAGGGATATCAAAACTGAAGACAAATGAAAAGTGATTGGGATGTTGAAATATTCTGGACTTCTATAATAATACTAGTTATATAACATTGTAACTGTGCTAAAAGTATATTCTGAATTGTTATGTGTGCATTGAACAGGCGGTTTTTAGAGGATGTGAATAGCTGATAAAGTTATTATAAAAATTAAGGACAAATTTTCAGATATTCCGAGGTATTAGCTTCAACCACTGCTACAGATAGGAGAGTTCTATACTTGTTTTATATTTGGAGAGTGTATATTATACATTCTGCTTAGGAGCATCAGACTTTCAGCTGTGTGATGTTGGCAAGGGCTGTAGTCTGGATCTTCTGGCAGCCAATGCTATGACAGAGGTTGGAGTACAGGATGCTTACTAAAGACAGAGACGTCTGAAGGAAAGGCAGTAGTGGGTCAGGCCAGAGAAAAAGTTAGAAGTGAGATGTAAGCCTGGCAAAACCTCAGCCAACCTGGGGCTCAGAAACCTGTGCTGTGCTGGCCTGGGAAGGGCTTGATCTTTTGTAAAGGGCTCTGAGGCTGGCAACAATGGCCTGTGGCAACAGCTGGGCAGCAAGTTTCATCTTGACCAGAGTCCCGGGCATGACCTCTCTGTGTCTGGCACAGCAAGTTGCTTTGCCTTTTTACACCTCAATTCTCTCATCTGTGAAATTGGATTGTTACAGAAATAAATATTGTAGTACACACATAGGACACTCAGAGAGTGCTTGACTCACGATGAATTTTCATAAACAGTATTGCTATTTTATTATTACTATACTAAATAAGTAACAGTCACAGACTATGCTAAAGAATTACAATATAGCATAGACACTAACACTTTAACACCCCCCCCAAAAGACTTTAGTTTTTAGACCACTTTTGAGGGTACTGAAAATTGAGCTGAAAGTAGAGTTATCTAACTAGAAACCTTCCCTGCTACCCCCCAGCCTCTTTTACAATTTTGAAGGTTTTTAAAAAAATTATTATTATTATGAAGATGATGTATAAAGGGGTTACAGTTTCATAAGTAAGGTAAGGAGTACATTTCTTTTTGGACAGTGTCACCCCTTCTTTCACACTAATTCTGAAGATTTTTTAAGAGAAGAAATGAAAGAACCTATAAGGAAATAGTTGGACATTGTTCAGAATGCCTCCCTGCCCCCAAACTACCCCATTATCTGCCTACTCAGAACTGGTATTTCTGTCTCTCTAGTCATTCCTGGCTATTAACACCTCCACATGATGACTATAGGTTTATTGGATCCTTTCCATTATGACAATTAATGGAAAGCAGAATCTCATGTTGAGAAAATGAATTTTGATAAATAGATCTGACAATAGTTTCCGAACGTGAGTGCTCCCCCATTCAGGGATTCAGCATCAGTGGGCCTGGATGTTGCCAGTAGCAGAGCAGGTGTATTTGTGTAGAGGGCACCCTGAGCCAGGATTCCCTGCTTGTGCAGTTGGATGGGAGGAAAGACATGCTCCAAAAGGGAGGTAGAAGGTAACAAGGACCTATGCATAGTCTCCATGCTCCCTCGGGATTACATGGAACATAGTTGTAGGAAAGGAAAGGCAGACCTGGTTTTATTTACATTTAAACTTTTGGATTGTCTTCAATTTTACTCACATGGTATAGAATACCATTTCTAAGTGTTGAAACAGCTGCTTAAAAACTATCATATAATAAAACAGACTTGGAGATGCTGTGCATCCTGTGAATTTTAGCATGTGTGGTGGTAAATGCAGAACAATTCTGCCACCACACAAAAGTCCCTGGTTGAGATAATCACTTAGAACCAAAGATCTATAGTTTGAGACAACTCTACTTGTATTTATCATCATGGAACTTGCATGTTAGATGTTAATACTTCCTCCTTCCTATTGTGTGATTTGGAGATTAATTTAATGCATCATGGAAAGAAAAGGTAACGTATTCACAGGGTCTCCTCATCTGCTCACTGAGGATGAGGCTGTCTTTACCATTTTGGTACCCAAGGCCTTCCTCAGCAGAAGACAGGAAAATTAAACAGGGTTGCAACTAGTGTGGTTTAAAGTGAGAAGGATGGAAAGTTACTTGGGGAAAGAAAATAATGTATTTGGCAGGTGAATGAGAGGCTGAAAACAACAACTGAATTATCATTGGCTGAGTGGCTTATCCAAGATCCTATAGATATTAGGTGGTAGAGCCAGAATTTTGGCCTTATGTTTGAACAGATTAAAACATTGACAAACTTTTTTGCAGACCGATGAAGAACAACAAAGACATAAGTATCCAAAGAGAGAGGCTACTACAAGTCTACAGATAGTATAATAGATTATTATGGTCCAGTTTATGCTAATAAATCTGATGGCTTAGATAGAATGAACATTTTTCTTTTGTTGTTGTTGTTGTTGTTTCTGGGTCCAGTCGTGGGGCCTGAACTCTGGGCTTGGGCGCTGTCCCTCAGTTCTTCAGCTCAAGGCTAGCGCTCTACCATTTGAGCCACAGGGCCACTTCCGGCTTTTTTCTTTGCTTATGTGGTGCTGAGGAATCGAACCCAGGGACTCATACATGCAAGGCAAACACTCTACCACTGAGCCACCTTCCCAGCCCCAGAATGAACATTTTTCTTAGAAGAAAGTACTAATGCTTATTCAAGAAGAAATAGCCTTGACAGACACATATTAAATAACTGAATCAATTAACTGATTTTGTAGTTAAAATTCTTTTCACAAGAAAGCTTCACATCCAGATGAATTAAATAATGAATTTTACCTAATATTAATGAGAATAGTATCTATTACACACAAACTCTTCCAATAAATGGGCTGACACTATTCTGATACCAAAATAAGACAAGGACATTATGGAAAAAAGGTAATTACAGATCTTGAAAAATAATAGAAAATATAATACACTAGTACATTAAAGGAATAATCATAATTACTTTATCATGACTAATTTATAATGACAAATCATTAATTTATCATTATTTGAGGAAGACATGGCTTTCTAGATGTAATTCATGACATGGATGATAAAAGGCCACTATGTAATGATTTCAGTGGCCAGTTGTAGCATGACAAGGTAATGGTATGAAATGCAAATAGATTTGAAAAGAAGAGATACTGTCTTATATCATAGATCGCATGATCATTTGCTTACAAAATCCAAAATCATCTAAAGAAAAAAACTACTTGAGCTAATGAGTTTTTTCATGGTTGTATGTTTTAAGACCAATAAAGATGCACTGGATTTAAAATTAAAAATAATTAGCAGTGTCACAAAAATTTATGAATACATTTATCAAAAGAGACATATATAGAAAACTACAAAACATCAGTGAAATGAAAACTTAAATCATGTTCATGGATTAGGAAACTTGAACTCTGGGCTTAGGCACTATCCCTCAGCTCTTCGGCTCAAGGCTAGTGCTGTCTAGTGTTTTTGTTTTTGTTTTATTGGAGATAAGAGTCTCACAGACTTTCCTGCCCAGGCTGGCTTTGAACCTTGGTCCTCAGATCTCAGCCTCCTGAGTAGCTAGGATTATAGGCAGGAGCCACCGTGCCCAGCTATATAAATTCCTTTTGTTTGTTTGTTTAGTGCTTTTGTTTTTAAAAATTATGAAAATACCATACAGAGGGGGTTACAATTACATGAGCAAGATAATGAGTACATTTCTTTTCAAGCATTGTTGCCTCCTCCTTTGTTTCCCCTTCCCATCCCTTCCCATCTCCCCCCCACCTCCCCTACCCCCCCTACCACATACCCCCTCCACCAAAGTTGTAAAGTTTGTTTTTTGATATATCGATTTGTTATCTCAATTCTTTTAAATTTATTATCATATCAAATATAATCCCAGTCAAAATTCCAGAAAGCTTTTTGTGCCTATCCTGGGGCTTTAATTCAGAGCCTGAGCACTATTCCTGAGCTTTTTTACTCAAGGCTAATAGTCTACCATTTGAGTCCTAGCTCTACTTCTGACTTTTTGTTGTTGTTGTTACTGTTGTTTTGTAGTTTATTGGAGGTAAGAGTCTCAAGGGCTTTCATGCCTGGGCTGTCTTCAAACTGCAATCCTCGGATCTCACCCTCCCAAGTACCTAGGATTACAGGCATGAGACACCCACCACCAGAGAGTTTTGTGGGTTTTTTGGACAGTCATGGGGCTTGAAGTCTGGACCTGAGCTCTTCAGATCAAGGCATGCTCTACTCCTTCAGGCACAGTGGCATTTCAGGTTTTCTGGTAGTTAATTGGAGATAAGAGTCTCATGGACTTTACTGCCCAGTCTGGCTTTGAACCATGATCCTCAGATCTCAGCCTCCTGAATAGCTTGGATTATAGGTGTGAGCCACTGGCACCTGGCTGCCAGAGGGTTTTATAAAATGAAAATCAGTGAGCTGGTTTGATCATTTATGTGATTTTATCATTTATGTCAAAAATAAACATTGATCAAGATGCACTTCATTCCAAAACTGACATAGAATTGCAAACATTTTGTGCAACCTTTTTTTTTTTTTTTGCCAGTCCTGATGCTTGGACTCAGGGCCTGGGCACTGTCCCTGAGCTTCTTTTGCTCAAGGCTAACACTCTACCATTTGAGCCATAGCACCACTTCCAGCTTTTTCTGTTTATGTGGTGCTGAGGAATCAAACCTAGAGCTTCATGAATGCTAGGCAAGCACTGTACCACTGAGCCACATTCCCAGCCCTGTGCAACTATTTAATAATACAATTTAAAAAAGAAACTAGTTGTATTATGTATTATAAGTAATTAAGCATGATTTAAAGTACAGGGGAGATTGCCCATATATTATATGCAAATAACATGGAATTTTTGTGGAGGAGACTCAGCATCTTTGAATTCTGGGAGGGTACTGGAATGAATTCCTTCAGGGTTCCTATTGCTACAACTCCTCGTGTGTCAATACTTGAAACATAGAATGTATTCAACAATTATTTATTTGATGAACAGATCTGTTGAATACTTCCTCTTTCCAAAGTATTAGAG